TATTAATATTTAATTATTTATTCATTTATAAATAAACCACATATTTAATTAAATCCTAATCTATAAAATTAAAAAACTAAATATAATTAATTAAGGGGTAGGGGACTTCTAAGGGAGAACCATTGGAGAAGAACCAACCCCTCCCTTAATATTCCCCCTAGATTAAGGGACATCCAAGGGATCCCTTGAAGATGCTCTTATGTTGATACAAAATACAATTTATGGCATTAAAGCTTCTTTCCAAAATCTAGCCCATATCATGGTCTCAATTAAGGCATTTCGACCCGAAAAGGGGAATCTCTCTTTTACCGTTCCGATATAAAAACGGAAAGATCCCGGGGTCGGTCACTTAGGGGGTGTTTGGTTGGGGTTTTTTTTTGGAAAACTGCAGTTATGGAACAAAAAGCAGCTTTTAGAGCTTTTTTGGAATCCAAAAACAGCGTTTGTTTCCCATTTTTTTTAGAAAAAGAGATGCCAAAATACTGACAAACAGTAGCTTTTTTGGGACAACTCATTTCCACTTTTTTTAGAGTGGAATTGGGCTGGAATTCTGACACAACGCTTCCAGCGCATCATTTTCTTTTCTCTTCGTTCGGAGAGCTTTGATACCCTCACCGCCTCATCTTCAGTTGCCTCTTCTCTGCTACCTTTCCCTCCTCCGTTTCGCGCCGCTTCAAGAGAAAAATCAGGGATCCATGGCATCAATCGGCAGCAAATCGATCTAGATTGGTCGATTAGATCCCTGCTGGGTCACCTCGTTGAAGCGTAGCTCTTGATTTCTAAAGGAATTTTCTGATGTAGGGGTTTTACAAGTCTGCGATTTTCTGATGATGGGGCTTTTCATAGTGCATGTCGCCTTCGTTGAAGGAGGTGATCGTCTCTGATCTGAAACTCCTTCATGATCTGAACTCCTTCCTGATCTGAACTTCAGATCGCCATCCTGATCTCTGGTTTAGTGGTTCAAGTTCCTCCTTTGATCATCGGGGTCTACTCCACACCGACGATAAGGTACAGCCTTCAGTTCCCTAAATTTTTGTTTTTATAAGATTTTAATTTATTTGTCACTATTTACTTATTAATTGTAGGCAATTATAGAAGAGTCTGAGTTCCAATATTGTCACTATACTTACATAATTTAGATGTTTATCTTTGCTTGCTGATGTCCTTAGGGGCTGTGAAGGCTAGCTAATAATATTGCCACAGTTTGATTTTGTTTTGAAATTCCATCCCATTATTTGTCTATGTATAAGAATGTATTTTGCATTCATTGTAGATGGAAGATATTGATGACGAAGCGTTAATGAGGATATCGAGTAATGCTACTATGTCTGCCATCGTCACTGTGTTGACGTGTGTAATGAGAATGCGTTGTAGAAGAAAATCTGTCACCTATCACCATGAGGGGGGAAAAACAGAAAATAGAGTCTAGGAATGCCCACATATGCCGCGTATTTTCTGGCTATAGTCACAGCTGTAGAGACTATGTTAGAATGCGGCCTCATGCGTTTAAAAATCTTGTGAATATAATGAGAGGGACGGGCCTACTCCAGGATTCACGTGATGTAAAAGTTGAAGAACAGTTGCTCATGTTTCTTAATGTATTAGCACATAAAACAAAAAATAGAATAGTAAGATCACATTTCATAAGATCGGGAGAAACAATTTCAAGATATTTTAACAAATGCCTAGAAGCAGTTGGTGCTATACGGGGGCGGTTTTTGAAGCAAGCACCAATGGAATTAGCGCCAGAGATTGCAAGCAATCCTTTGTACTATCCCTATTTCAAGGTAATGCACCCATGAACATACATCGATCTACAGAAGTAAAATTGTTATCCTATATCTTTGATAGTAAATCCACTTTTTGAGGATCCGATCGATCTTTCTGAAAATGATGATATTGAGACCTCCAAGTCACAATTTGGGGCTGAGACACCAAGTGTTGAAAGGCTTGACCCTCACTCTCAAAATGTGAAGTCGGCTAGCGGGGTAACTTCTACATCCAATGCCAAACCTCATTCAAAAAGGAAGGGTGGCAAGGGCAGAGATGATGATTCACTAATGCGTGAACTCATCGAGTCCATGTCCCACTCAATCCAAAACCAACATATTTTACATTGGACTGATCGAATGTCCAAGGCTTTATCCGCACATGGGGCTGATTTCTCTGAGACAATACTGGATAAGGTGCTGGATTATCTATATGACAATGAATCAGAATCTAGGCGGTTCATTATCAAGTCGAAAAATGCGCAGAAACTGTTCTTAGAGAAGATTATTCGGGAAAATGGATTTGCCACCGATGATTTGCCGTAGTGGACACTATATTGGGTAATGGATTTGTTTCCTACCTACTTTTGCACTATTATAGCCATATTTATAATCAAGTGAACAAGTTATAATTTTGTAATATCGTGAGACAACACCTTTACTTTATGTGCATGAAGCAGCTGCTACCTATCATGTTTCTTACTTCTGTCTTGGCTGGCTATATTTGTTGAATTGTATTACCAGGCCTGTGCAGTTCCTTATGTCCTTTTTATGTTATCTTACCTATTTGCAGAGTTTATATATCGTCTTTATATAATCAAGTGTGTGGAAATTAGCATTATCTCAACCAGCGGTCCCTCATCTGTGTACAGGTTATAACTATTCTCGTAAGTTACTTTGGGCTTTTTCAACAGGCAATGATGATTGCTCATTTGATATTTGTTAATGCAGCCTATACTGAGTAATTGTATTGGTCTGGATAAGGCTTACCATGATGTGATTGCAATCTAGATTGCTAATGTGATTTTTAGGTGAGGCAACTATTATGCGTAGGCAATCCTCAATGCAATTACAATATGTAGGCGAGGCATCTTATACTGATAATATAGCTATAATCTGAGCCTTGTTGCCATTGCTATCCCAGATTTATTTGTCTTTTTAAGCTGTGCCTCAATTTTCTGCTTTGCTGGGTTTTTTCCTTGCATCAGTTTCCAGCTGTGCATCAATTTTCTGCTTCACTTATATTATTCAGTTGCCTATACAGAGTTTTGCTTGAGTTGTTTTTTCTTGCCTACATGTTCCAGCTCTGCTTCACATTTGGAGAGAGTCAGTTCCCAGCTGTGCATCACTTTGCTAAGCTAATAATTTCAGCTGACTTAACTGAAGTTGCTCCTGTCTTCACCTATTTGTGCTGAGTTTTGCTGAGTTGTTTTACATTGCTTCAGTTCCCAGAGTTGCTGTTTGTCCTGAGTTGTTTTTATGCTTTGCTGGGTTTTTTCCTTGCCTCAATATCAGCTGACTTAATTGCAGTTGCTTCAGTTCTCAGAGTTGCTGTTTGTGCAGAGTTGCTTTTTCAATAGGCAATGATGATTGCTCATTTGATATTTGTTAATGCAGCCTATACTGAGTAATTGTATTGGTCTGGATAAGGCTTACCATGATGTGATTGCAATCTAGATTGCTAATGTGATTTTTAGGTGAGGCAACTATTATGCGTAGGCAATCCTCAATGCAATTACAATATGTAGGCGAGGCATCTTATACTGATAATATAGCTATAATCTGAGCCTTGTTGCTGTTTGTCCTGAGTTGTTTTACATTGCGACAGTTCTCACAGTTCTCAACTTTGCTGAGTTTGGATTTAAACAAGGCTTTGTTCCAGTATTCCCTAGCTGAGTTTTGTTGACTTGTTTTTCCCTGCTTCAGTTCTCAAAGTTTGAGTTTGTGCTGAGTTGTTTTGTCAATAGGCAATGAGGATTGCTTTTGTTGAGTTGTTATTGCAGCATATACTGAGTGATTGTACTGGTCTGGATAAGGCTTACCATGATGAGATTGCAATCTATTATGGCTTCACTTTGATTTGCTCCAATTCCCAGCTGTGCATCACCTTGCCTAGCTAAAAATTTCAGCTGACTTAACTGCAGTTGCTCCTGTCTTTGCTGAGTTTTTCCTTTGCACTCTGCTTACAGCTTTGCATCACTATTTATCTGGGTTTACAGTTTTGTTATGTACAAGTTATAACTATGTACATTAGTTTGGATGTAGTTTTTATTTGTTCCAGTATTCATCTGTGATTTGCTGAGTCATATACACCATGAATTGCCTCCATAAATTTCATTACATACCACATTACACTTTGCACCTACATGGCATATTTTCAAAGCTACAGATTAGTACACAGATTATAACTAAGAACAATACAATCATTTTCCAAATGATTAGTTGATGCTCTGCAGTTTTCAATTCCCTCTTCAGCTTTTTGATTTTCATTGCCCTTTTATCTTCATCAATGTCCTCACTTTGTGATGCTTGAATTCTATTTCTGCTGCACTCGCCCGCTTTGTCAGCCCACTGAAAGAAGTTGCATTCCTTATTTGGGAACTTAGCGCAACCCCAATAATGTCTCCCTCTATTTTTTCCATTTGCGCATAGCTTCATGGGTGTTGGAAGTTTGCATTTGCATCTAACTTCAGATGGGGCACCCTCTGATTTGCTGTCCCATGGCCGCTCCATAAACCTGCAAGTCACTTTGTTGCTACGAATCTGGCAGAAATTAGAAGTTTGAAATATTCTCACATGGCTGAGATTTGCTATACTTTGATTACCCTGTTGGTGGCTCATTATATAGGCCCCCAAGTGAACTTATTTCTTGAGCTGTTGCAGTAACTAGCCGTTTTCTCTTGTGATTGTTGAAATCGGTCACTGAGTAAGTAACTAGCCGTTGCACAGTTGTTTTGAGTGATGAAATGTTAATATTCTGTGGTAACTTCACCAGAGGTACGTGTACACACTGTTTTTTTTACCTCTTTCCTTTTCTTCGGCTTTGAACCAAACACAAGTGCTTTTATGAAAAGCTTTTTTGGATGGTGTTTTCCTTTTCTTTGGTGGTGAACCAATCATGGGTTTTGGATATGTTTTCTTAATATTCACTTTATAACTCAATAACAAACACAAGTTATGGATTCCTGGATGATCCAAATTTTTTTTAGAATATGGTTATTTGCCTCGGATTCCATTTCCTTTATTTTATGGAAACGAACCAAACACCCCCTTAGTTCCTCTTCTCACACTTCGATCCCCTTCGCTCGCTGCTGGTGACGATCTCCAAATGGACCGATTCAAGTCGCTGAGGCGAGTCCAGGTCCCCTCTCAAGAAACCCTAGACGACCACTCACTCGACAACAATGGCGACGACGTGCCTCGAACCCTAGACAAGGGCGGAGAGCAAGAAGATCACGGAGGAGGAGATGAAGGAAGGGAAGCGTCTGGAGATCCCCACCCTTTCATAGGCATGAAGGTCTCAAGGCGAGCTTCGATCTATAGAGAATGCACCGATGGGGATTACATCGGCGTTGAGTCTGATCCCTATCTTAAGAAGATTTTATCGAAGCAAGGTAAGTATTTATCTTGCTTTTGAATTGGATCATTATGAGGTGTGATACATTTTGATGGAAATTTGGTAGTAATATGTTTAGAAGTTTTAATTTTGAGTAGAATTATTATAGTGATTAGCTTTGCTAAAGTTGTAGCTTTCGATTTATATCAAGATAGTTATCTCTAGTGTTGATTGAGACTCAATTTAGGACCAAATGGGAGGCTGATATTGTGCGTATCAGTCGATGTTTTGGTTTTGGATAGTGAAATTTGGGAATCTAAATAGATATGTTACAGTAAAACTGTTTAAGATTTAATTTTTACGTATTGTCTCGATGAAGTGTTCAAAAAGTATGCTTGTGTTTTGTCAAGAAATATAGATATTGGTAACTCAATAGATTTCACTCAAAAACTTGTTTCGCTTTGTATTATCTTTGTTGAATCCAACTATTATGGCAGTAATTTATTCATATGCAGAAGGCTATTTTCTTTTATGGTTATTTTAAATGTCTTGTATCCTAATCCTGAGCTCTATTTCATATTACAGCATTCAAATTAGACATGCATTCTCGATTAGTTGACCAAATACCAGTTTCTTGAATTTCTCTCGGTCTGATCCTAAGATTTAATCACACGTAAAATCACCTAACAGTTCATCGTTGATGCCTGTACAAGCACCATATGAGAACAAATAGTTTTGGTGATAAGAAAGAAGAGGATGCTAAATGAGGAGAAAGGGATCAGACTCGAGATCTTCAAGTAAAAGGTAAGCATATAAAATATATGAGCCATAATAGATGCCCTGACTTAATTAAGAAACTGGTGTAAATATGAGATAGGATAAAGCCGACCATGTTATCCTTTTGACCTTCAGTTTCTATCTATCCTGCAAGATAGCCTGTATGTGGGAAGGTTGGGATGTCATACCGATCAAGTAAATTGCTCATCCTCTAAGAGCGAGGTCTAAAGTATAAGAGTTAACTGCTTAACCTCAATCATTGTTCAGGGAACTGTGTTTTTGACCTCTTATCAAAATAAATGCAGTCTACTGACATTTGGCTGAAAATATCACCCAGTGTTGTTTCTGAGGACATCCTTGATCGCTTCACAAGTTTCCTGAGCCTTGAGCATATTATAGATTAGCTTTGCTCTTACCTAGGATTTCCATGGTTGTTCTCATTCCATTCCTATGTAACAGTCTATCTTCAAAATTTTGGTGGCATATGTCCAGTTGGTTACTTTGTTGGCTTTCCATACTTGCCAAATATTATATAACTGCAGTCATAATCTTGTTTCTGATCCATCGATACACAGCCATCATTTGGTGATCCTTGACTAGCACCAAGACCTGCAAGCCATTTTCTCAGATGAATGACAACTTACACTCTCTATAACTCAGTAGTAAAACTTAAAAAAGTATATTTAAATTGACTACTCTTCGGAGTTAGCCATGTTTTACAGCTGCTTATAAGCCTATGTATCCCGATAAACCTCAGTCGAACTATTCTTCCCTCTTGCTACCAGCGAGATGTTTTACACCCCACAAGTTGGTACACAACCATTGCAAAGTATCGAGATTATGATCGATGTAGGAGAAAGTAAAATTTCTGGTTCTGATTTAAATAGTGTAGATCAAAACTGTAGAGTGGAGTTTAGTAACTAGCCAGGTATTCTGTAAGTTAATCTTAAATGTACAGTTATGGTATGTTAAACAATAATACTTGTATCTGTTTCTTTTACAAAAATATAAGTGGGTCAGGTGTGTCTTTTCTTCTTGATCCTTCATTTTTGCATCGCATTTCTTTTTCCCCATCATTTTGTTCATCGGTTCCTTTTAGGCTCCATGGCTTGAATTTTTGTGCTTTTTTTCTCCTTTCCAATTAGATCAATTGGCCAAGCTAGCTGGACTGCCATTTGAATTTTTCTCCCCTTTGAAATTCATCTGTCTAGTGTAACTTTTGGCTTTATTGGAATTCATGTTCTAGTTTGACATAGATATATTTCTGTGTCTCTTTTATTTTTACTTCAGAAATTTGATGCAGTCCTTTCTGGATGCAACACTTGCTTCATCAAGAGACTAATATTTTCTCTATGCCTCTTGTTCCTAGCTTTTACACTACCATTACCATCCTGCACATACGCGAAAGAAATAGAGAATGTTTTGGCAAATGAAAAACATATTTGTTGTTTGTTCACCAAAGTTTATATTGCAAGAAGTCCGAATCTAACAATTTTATTCTTGCCACTGAGTTATTTTAAATTCACAGACACTAAAGGTAAAAGTTTTCATCACTAACCTTAAAGTGCACTAATGTGCAGGTGATACAACAGTACTGTTTGCAGACAAAGTTTTGAAGTTTACTGGATCCGGAAAGATGAAGAGACGGATTTTGTTGATCACCGACTTCGCCATTTATCTTGTTGACCCTGAAGCCGATTCATTAAAGCGGAGGATAGCACTTGCGGCTGTTGATAGGTTATGCTTGAGTCAGCTAAGTGATAATTTCTTTGCCATCATTATTCCAACCGAGTATGATTTACTTATGGCTAGCATTCGGAGGAAAGAGATCATCTCTGTGCTAGTTGAAGCTACCAAGAGCACATCTGAAGAGATTGAGGTGGTTTACTCCAATAGGTATGTGGAATTAGGTTCAAATGCAATTTAGTTGCAAACATTTTGTATATTTAGCTATTTACAACCTTCTGAGTAGTGTATTTAGCTGTGGTATAATATAGTATTGATGTCCCTTCCACATTTCAGAGGAAGTGTTTTCCTAACTTTCTCTACAGATACTAGAATCTAGGAAACACTAGGGAATTCAGATATGGAGGACTACACAAAAGGTTTGGGAAATTAATGTATCCCTAAAATCTTAAATCCCATACATTCTAAATAATGCTTGAATTTTAGATTTTCTGCATAACTTATGGAACACTTCGATGTTGTATTGATGTATAGATAAAGTAATAGGACACGGTGCGTTTGAATGGAGAAACACAGGAGTGGGCATATCCTGATACTTAATGATGTTAGGGGATGAGGGGTTACTTGAATGGAACAAATGGATTATTTTATACTTATAGTATTGGTATTCCATAACCTATCATTAAAATATCTTCTATTTATTTAGCTTGTAAAATCCTTAAATATGTCTGTAGTCCGACGAAAAATGCATTATTCAACTTTAATAGATTAAAACATTTCATACACTTATGTCTCTCTGCAGTGGCAGTCTGGCGGAGCCAGAGATTTCATTAAGGGGGGTCCAAAAAATTTGATTGTTAAACATGATAACATATTTTTAAAAAAGTTTGTACGGTACTTTCAAAATAAAATTTCAAATTATAATGTAGTGTTTCAATAACATTCTTCTATGACTGAAAATTGAAAGGAAATAAAACACTCACAATGGATAAAGTTCAAATGTAGCAATTTCATTTATGCTCTATTCAAATTAATTTCTGAGAAATTTCATTTTTCATATACTTTCTAAGTGCAATTACCCCAAGACAGTCATCAAATAAGATAATGAAAAATAAAATAAAATTTTCAGCAAGCCAAAAAGCTTTTATTCAAAGTCAGAAACCCGAATCCTTGAAATGCCTCATCTACGGTGGCGGTGAAGGTCCGAGAAGGATCCTCCTAAATCAGGCAATGCAGATGGGCTTTCTAATCAATCTGCAAAATTTTGATATCCAGCTAAATGGGATGATGGGCTTCATTATGTTTCTTATTTATGTCCAAGACCACTTAGACTCGATGAATGGTAATTTGGAAGTATAGATGATGTATTGCATTTTACCCTTGCCAATCAATTACCCTTAGCTTTTTTTAAGAGGGGTTTGGGCCACTTTTGCCCCTATATGGCTCCGTCCATCTCTCAGGAGTAGGTAATATAGTTAAGTGTATTATTTGATATGTATAGAACGTTGATTGCTAATTTGCTGTCAAATGTTGCAGATTTGAGTACCATGCTGCTGCCGACATGGTAAAAGAAGTGGAATTTGAGGAAGTAGATGGTATGTGTAACTTCATCGAACCATTTTTATTGTTTAATATTCATCTACGTAACCATGTTTCACAATTTAAGCATATATGATAAGTTGAAATTTCCTGCAGGAGGAATCAAAACAAGGTTCAGGAAAAAGGAAGGCGAAGCTGAATAACATATTTCTGCCTTCTAGCAGTTCCTATATGCCCTTTATACTAAAAAGATTGGACCAAGAGGTGGTTGTATTTCATGCAGTTCTTTTCCATGGTGGATGCATTGTCAGCATATTGTTATTGTATTTAATTGTGCCCACTGTAAACCGTATATCTATTATTTTGACTGAATTCATGTCATTTGTGCATACTTGGAAGTCCTTTCTCTGGATTGTTAAGGCAACTCCAGTTGTGTTTTCGGATGTTGAAAGTTATAGGGACCAATGTTGTGTCAGTTTTTTTATGCTAAAAAGTTACCTCCCCTCTGTATGATACTTTCCCTTGATCTATTTGACAAATGTAAAATAGTTCATAAGAGATTACCCCTGTTACCTCATCAGTTACGTGGAAATTCTAACTTTATGACCGTGTAATAGGGTACTCTCACCAATAGCTTCTCTTTGTCGACTCCGCGGAAATATAATCAAGTTGCTCTCAGGAGCTTCTTTTTAAGCTTAAGGCAGAAAATTTGAGGTCAAATTTGCTTCTTTTTACCTGTATGCATGAATTCAATAGTCCATTACAAGGGTGCGAACCGTATGGCATACTACAGGTTGGCAGGATGTAAAAACTCAAATTCAGGCATAAATTTGATTGGAGCACTGCCCGTAGATGCTTGACTGGGTGATACACAAGTATTAAAAATGATGAACATTTATTAAAAGATTGAAATAAAGTGATGAACAAGCATTAAGAGAATGAAATAAATCATCATTCACATAGTTCTAGTAACTGGATGTGCTGGTTCATATCCTTCGAGTAAAAGGTAAACTACCACAATGAACCTCTTCAACAAACCCTCTTTGCTGAACTGATCTCCAGTCCTCAATTCAGCTATACTCATGACAACAGAAGTGCTTCCAATTTTGCCTCGGTTAGAATTCAGTTATTTATTTATTTACTTATTTTACACTTCCCTTTATTCCTGTCCTATAATTTTATTATTTCATAACATCTATGTATCACCAAATCAAGGTCTCAAGCATAGTTGAAATGAGAAGGAATAAACAAGCCAATCACCATATATAGTTCAAAATAAGGTCTACGTTCATAGCTTTAATGTGCAATAGTCCAAACATGACGACAAATATTTACAGTCTTGCTGGACATAATCCTCTCAGACAACATGGAAACTTCCCGTTATGGTTTGTAAACAATCAGGATAAGTTTCACTGGCTAATCAAACCCCAAAAGTGGCAGAGCGGTCTTGCTGCATCCAAAACAGTCCATTCTCAACTTCAAATCCTCTCAGACAAGTAATTCGCAAGCGAATCTATCGGCTTTTGAACTCCAACGTTCAATTTCTCACGCCTAACCTTTCTCCATCGGCCTCCTTCATTTCGACAGACTTCTTCACCCATTTCGGGTGGTAAGTCACTTGATACCATGCCGCTGCCTTACTCTCATATATCTGATTCCTCTCGTCGTCACTTAAACTTAGCTGAGATAAATGGCCCCCAATCTCCTCAAAAGAGCGTCTATATTTCTTATTAAGTGCATAATATGCATTCTTGAGCCTCTCTTTGACCTCCCCTTGTTTTCTGCTGTTGTAACTTCCCAAAGAAGAAATATGCCCCGTAACAACCTCTCCCTCTTTATCAACTCTGAATTGCCCCAACAATGCATTCAATTGTCGATCATATGAACATTTGGTTTCCCAGGCTTCAGTGAGATAATCAAATGCCTCTGAAATATCAAAAGCTTGATCATATGGTAAGTCCTCGTAAGCAGAAATGAGCTCAGAAGAGTTGTCCTCATCAGAAGCAGATTTTATCTTTCGGTATAATCTTCCAAGGATCTTCTCTGACTTGTATGTTATGTGTTCATCCTTGTTCATGAAGTCAGGATAGAGTTTAGGCTTGTAAGAAGCGGGCAAATTAACGAATACCCCGGTTTTAGGGAAGTCGACAGCAATGGCAGCTAGCTTAGCAAGCTTAAGACATTTATCATCCATGGCCCCATAATCGCTCAGGTCAGCATGAACCACATGAGCATTGCAGATCACCCCAAGATTCTCACTGGACATATTCCTCACAAAGAAATCGACTATAAGCTGTTGGATAAAGCAAAGCACGTTAAAAGGATTTTTTGTCCTTTATAATGTTAAGAGCACTCAATCTCTATAGTAATGTGGATAAATGACACATGCCAATGATGTAAATTAGAATAATACGGAGAATAATCTACCAAAAGGGTTGATTCTGCGTGAAACACTAAAAATACAACCCTTAGGAGGAGATTCCGCCTTATATCAATATTACAAATATTAATTATTAAATTTTCCATGAGTAAAGAGATCAGGAAAGTTTTCTAATTCTGCCAATCGGCAAACTTGTAATAAGTTGACAATTTTGTTTCATAAAATTCTATAAACAAGATAAATAACAGAGGAAAACGATGTCCCAATTTATACCGCAGACAACCTAATTTAACCAGGACTTTTGATGAGCATTTGTGTTAGGGACGGCTTAAGGGAAAGAAATCACTCTGGAACTATGACACATGCAGCAAATATGAAGACATTCATTGTCTTGGGAAGATAAAATGGAAAATTTGTTTAAGTAGATGGGTTTTGCTGTAAATTTACAATGGGGAAAATATATAAGCAGCAGCAAATGAAATATAAACCAGACATCGCTTAAGGATTGTAAATATGGTCACAGAAAATATAAATAAAATAAAATAAAAGATGTATACTCTCCTGTATCAAGTATGAAATGACTTCCTAGAGCTCATATCTATTCTACAGGGAATAAAAATCTTCAATGGGTCTGATGCTTCAATAACGGTAGGAAGAAAAACAAGGTACAAATCACAAAAAAATAAAGTATCGTTGAAGTGAACTGGTTAATAGCAACATGCCACCTATTCTCATTTAAGGAACATATGGTGTTGATCTGGAAAACTAATGGTGCAGTTAAGATTTGATGAAGAGTAGAATTTAATTGATCAAAGATCATAGAAGGATAAAACACAATGGAGCCTGCTTACAATATTGAAGTACACATTACATCTACAGCCGACAAAATACTTTAACATGTAAATTAAAAAAAATGTTATTTTGAAGAATATCAGAAGCCTGAGTCAGAAAAGGAACTATTCTTGAGGCTTTGAGAAGGCTATACATCAAGCATCATAAAGTCAGATGCGCTTCTTGAAGACTGTAAAGAAAAGGGTAAGAAAGTTGAACCTTTAAAAGAGCTTACTTATGCAAGCAATTTATCAGATCCAAGTATTGATGATTCTTAAAGCCTGAGCAACACAAAGGAAGAAGCACCATGAGAAGTCAATATATGTTGTAATGTTGTTGATTACAACCAAGGGCATCGATTAAATCTAGGTGGATTGCCTAAGAACTGACACAATATAATTTCTATAGTTTGTAATCACATCACTAATGAATCTATAACTGCACAATATAATTATGCTATTGCCTAAGGACTGATAGTGAATGCCTATGGTTGAGAATGGACCTTCGCTGAAGATTTAATTCCAAAAAGAAGGGCCCGAAGGGCAGTCGTACAGAAATCTTCACTTCCACTAAGGAACTTAGCCATCAATCTTGACTAATCTTAGTCATTGTGGTTATAATTTTCTTCCACCTTTACCTGAGAGGGATGTCTTAAGAAAGAAAGAAGAAGGGGAAAAAACTGTTCTAGCAATATTTCCATACATCAGTCTAATTACGATGAACATTTATTAGGTCCACAGTCCTATTGTGCTGAAAGGGCGTCAATGTGTTAGTAAAGAAGTTCTTATACGTTGGTGCCAAGGGTCCAGAAGGTAATAGAGTAATGTATTTAGTTTTTAAGCTGTGATATTAGACATGGACATGAACACCATAATCTGACAAGGGTAAGGGATCCTTCTGGAGCCAAGACATGAGAGGCCAACTCATAAGGCTCCAGACTAGTAGTGTCTTCTTCAAAGCAGAGGTTTGGATCAGCAAGGACAAGGATTTTACTTATTTGTTTTACTACTGCTGCTGCTAATATATTTATTACTTGAAGAGCAAGATGAGATATCAGAGGAGTATTGTTGAGATTTTCAGAAAATTAAGGTTTTGTTTGGTAAGATAAAGTTATCCAAGCACAGTTTTAAAACTAGAAGATGCTATCCTTAGACGGTTGGATCAAGTTATTCCAACATTCTAGTGGGATGTCTATCATACAAAACTCGCAAATACAAATGAACAAAGAGCATTTTATTTGTACTAAAAGTCTAAAACACAAATTTAATAGGATACAGTTGTCCTTTAATACCAAATCGGCATTTGGCCATAATATGTAGAACTGTTACACAAGTTCCCCACTTACTATTTTGCCAAACAGCATTAGGGATGCGTAAGTATTTTCCAAGGTAAGTACAAGTTCACAGAGAAGATACAACATACTGTATGTTATAGGAGGCTGTGACTATCAAAGGAGAGGTGGTTTCTTAGAGAAGACCCTTTGTTTGGAGATTGCTTCTGAAAGGATCACAAGATAAATGGATAATCAAATAGGAAAAACATGTTTACTAAGGACTTACATCCTGTTGCAACTGTTTTTAGAAATGCAGAAGAGGTATGGTTAACTACAATCTTCACATCAAATTTTCATAACTTATTTCTAGAAAAGTAAACGTACTCACGAGTTACGCCAAGTTCTACTGTATATGAGAGAAAAATATCACAGGGTAGAATGCCTCTTTCAAATATAGCTATCTGCCAACTGAATTGAGCCTGACACCCTAGAAGCTGGGTAATTTACTCTATCTTATCTAGAAATGTCACATAACAGCATCATATGTTTTAAGTCATTAATGGGTAATAACCAATAAATAATAACTTACTAATAGCAAAACATGTAAAATCAAATTTGCAACCATACTAGAAAACTCCAAGAAATGATAGATGTCATACTAAACCACATACAATAAGCAGGATAATGCTTGTCAAATAAAAGCAGTGCATGCACCATAGCAAATAGGATAACTTACCTGATGAACAATCTTGCGTGGTTCTTCCTTTGCCTCAGCAGGCTCATAGTCCAGTGGCGGCCAGCTCTTTTTACTTGGAGGAATTAGATTTTCATCCCATGTAACAAAATAAAGATCTCCATCAAGATCACTTCCCGATGCCTCATTTGAATGAGGCCTTTCTCCTTTCTGCGGAAACACTAAGCAATCAACAAGATGATGCAAACCAGGCACATCAACTGCTTCTAGAATCCGAATATCTCCAGGGTGAAGACACGGATTCTTTGCTAAAGCAATTGTACCCACAATGACTTGCTTGTTCACCTTTGACCCTGAAAATTTGGATCCATGCTTCAAGAAACAATTCTCCAAAGAAGGGCTAGATACTTGGATAAAGCATTGCCCTTCTTCTAACACTCCAAGCTCATCAAGGCAACCCATCAACCATCTTCCCTTTGGAACAAAGATTCTTGCTTTTGATGAAAGATCTTTTAACTGTGATAGCCTAATACACAAAAGCATTGCTTTCAAATGAGGCTCAGTCTGAGGAGTAAATCCAGCACTCAGCATCATAGCTGCAATATTCCCCTGCTCAGCACAAGAACTAGTAAGGACGTCAAATGCAACATCCGGGTCTATTAGCATCTTATCAAGCTTGCTAACCATTGAATCTTGCATCCTTGAGAACACATCATCATCGACACCCAATGCTGAAAGCAAGGTCACAATCTGACGATTCAAGAAACCCGGTTGAAACCTAGTCCAAGATACAACTTCCAATACAGAATGCGAAGATTGGAACTTGTTCATGCTTGGCCTCAGTGACAACCGAATCCCATCATTGTTTCCAGGCCAAACAGCCACCACTCCTTTACAACCAGCAAAACGAATTTGATAAGCTGAAGGGGGGGTTTCTGTCAGTCGCAGCTTCTCAGCAACTTCTGTTGCAAGTGCAGGGGTAATTTTCCCTATCCCGTCCGAGAAGCAATATTTTTCATTTTCAATATCTGGAAGTTTTTGATTAACTTCTCCAGGATGCAATTGGACGGTAGCGTAAGTGGAGGAAAAACACTGCCCCATTCGAGCTGCATACTTAGCCACATTCTTATTCTGAAACTTACCCATCCAACTTGTTATATCCTGAACGCTCGTACCCTTATCCTCAGCAAAGAACCAAGCAGATTTATCTCTCAACTGGTTGGAAGAAAATGCAAGAAACGAATACTTGCGTCCGCACAAGTGAAACCCTTTGTACATAATGTCCCTGACTCTTCGAAACATGGTGGTTTTTTGACTGGACGAACTAATCGTGACCTCCTTAACAATGGGTGCAGGGTAAAAGCTAAGGACGTGGATGTTCAATGACTGCATTCCTTCATCCATAAACGTTACTCTCAAAAACCTGTCCGAAATATCTCGGTATTTTCTCAAAACCCTATTGGCAAGCTCAATTTCAGGAGGAAGACAATAAGCCTTGGTCGGGGTTATAACCAATCGCCTAACTTCCATGTTATCATCACTAGGAATCGGCGCCTTGATTAACCTTGGAAACTTCAAGAGCCAATCTTGGACCATCTTTAACCTCCCATACGCATCAAATATGGGTTTCTTGTACCCATAAATGTGCCTAAGGGCAACATCATTCAAAACTTCACTCTTCTTTCTCAGCAACCCAAAGAACTCCTCGGTCAGCCGATGTTGATTAAAGATCCCTTTATGAACCAAAGCATTCACCATAAACATATTCACAAAGCTAACCCCTTCCTTATTGTGAAAGCAGAAGAAAGGGTCAGAAGAGACGAAACCCGGGTTCCCTTCATCCTTGACCAAAATAGGCCTCTCAGGCCTCAACCCCTCTATCCTCCTCTCCCTCATATACGCCAACGCCTTCTCCAGCTTCCCCCGAAACCTCGGCGACATTGAAATTCTGTAACAATTGCATCTCCCAATTGCTCCATTGGGGGTAAAATCTGTACTCCTGATCCAAGGGTCCTCGTCATCCAACAAATGCCCCGTCGAAGTGTCGTGGATGTCATCGTCGGCCGTCCTATAATAAATCAGTGGCGCGGCCCCAAGACCCATCTGAATCAAAAAGACAAACGGCATTGCATCCGTAGTCACCTTCACCTCCATCACATCCCTCAACAGGAACTCCAGCTTCAGATTACATCTAATAAAGTCGACATCTTTGGTACCTTTCACCGTAAAAGCAACTTCCCGAGAAAACATCAACTTACAAGAACTATCAAAAGGGTCGACGAGGAACTCGACGGCGTTGTCGGGTTTCGGGTCGAGACGCCAAGCGACGGCGAACTCCGAGGGGCCCACAAGAGACCCGATCTCGAAGCAAACATCTTTGAACACGAAAGGGCTGATCTGTCTCCGGCGATTGATTCGATGCAAGGAGTCGGCGCTTGATTGGACCACGACGGGCTTCTGTCCGACGAGGAGCTCGCATCGGCCAGCGGCGTCGATGGCCCGTTGGGCCCCAGCGGGGGTACCGAACTGGAGGAAAGCGTGAGGGACGACGGGGGCCCGCGAAGACTTGGTGGGCTTTTTGCTTGTGGGCTTAGGGTTTGGGAATTCGAAATCGGGGTAGGAATCGGGAGGAGTTGAGGAGGATTTCAAGCGTGATCGCCAAATGACGCAGTTGAGGGATTTTTCGAGGGAAAGGTGTAGACTTTCGGCCGTGGTCTGGGCGTCGAAGCCAGCGATGCTGACTTGGGTGATGACTTTGTCTTTGTGGTGGGCTTGGACTTGGGTTTTGGAGCTAGAGTCCAGAGAGCCCATTGGAGAGATCAAGAATTTGGAGGAGGAAGAAGAAAGGAGAAGGGGGGAATTGACAGAGAGAGAGAGAGAGAGAGCGTGTGTGTGTAATATGGAACCGGGTTGAGTAATAATAATAAATGAAGCCGACGACTAGCCTTTTAACTTTTGTTGTTGGGGGATTACAGCCGTTGGATTGAGAGACGTGAGGATCTGACGGCAGGAAAGTTTGGAGCTGAAAGAGTGCGTTCGTACCTTTTTCTTCTTTCAATTTAGAAGATAAAACATTTTTTGTTTGAAACTTAGACAAATTGTTGAAATCAACTATTTTGAGAATTTAATCAGCAAAAACAATCCAATTAGAAAAAAAATTAGCAAAATCGACCGTTCGTCGTGAGAGAAAGATTGATTTTGCTGAAATACAATTTCTGCGATACACGGGACTACTAGTCCCGTGTAATTTAAAACACGGGACTACTAGTCCCATATAATTTAAAGTCTTAATTAAGCGGTCAAATTATACGGGCTCCATCTTCCATTTTCTTGGTATGGCTAATGATGGATTAGCAGGTCCTAATTACACGAAACTAATGGTCCCGTGTAATTAAAAAAAACCTTCAGCAAAATCAACCGTTTTTTGCCCACAAGGGCAGAAGACGGTCGATTTTGCTCATTTTTAAGGAAGAAGAGCATTTTTACTAATTAACCACGGGCAGAAAACGGTCGATCTTGCTTATTTTTAAGGAAAAAAATTATTTTTACTGATTAAATTCTCAAAATGGTTGATTTCAAAATTTCTCCTTTCAAATATATAGCGCGAGAAAAGGTAGTAAACACTGAAGCTCTATGTTCTATGAGTCTTTCATATTTAGTGTCACAGATCTTGATATTTTAGAATTAGTCCCTCAAAGCTTTTAGTATTTTGAAATTAACTCCTTAAATTATCACATTTTGAAGGATAAATTGCACTTAAATACCCTATTCTTTCCAAATAAATACTTATATACCCCAAATTCCAAATCAGAATAAAAATAAATTCTTAGTTGTTTGCTTTGTGAATTTTTTAACGACGTTAAATTTAACCTGAACAGACAAAAATGTCACTCTTCCTAAATAACCCCATGATTTAAAAAATCTTCAAACTTTTTGTTACCATAAATCTCTTCTCTCCCCACCCCCTCCCCCTCCACTAAAAAAATTTACAAGGGGAAACTGGGTTTCATGTATCTCATGCTCGACAGTAGTTGATGAGCAAGAACGAGCTAATGTAGGTGTTATGGGGTGTTCTCTGTTCCCCACAAATATGCTATCCCGAGAGCAGGTTCGGTCGAGTCGACTTCATTCTAAGACGACTCGAAGGGCGGACTCAGTCGAGCAAAAGATGATTACCGATCGATCAACCGATACTTTTCCCAAGGGCGACTCGGAATATTATTTCTCAGCATTATTTTAACAGTTTATGATCATCATTACAACTCCACGTCACCTGTTGACAAGCCTCAACGGCTGCTGATTCCCCATACCACAGAAGTGACCCCACGTCACTCATCGACAAGCCTCGATGGCTGCTGATTCCCCATACGACAGAAGTGACTCCACGTCACTCACCAATCAACACACATCGAGCAGAGGGTGACTCAGCCTCCAGCTCACCCCTCGCCATCATCATAAACTGCATTCTTACTAGATGCCAATTCGGCCATTGGCATCCTCTATAAATACATATGCTATTCGTCATGAAAAGATGTTGGATTCTCCTTACTACTATGAAACTCTCTAGACACATTTTTAGAAGAATACATTGTTCTTCTATTACCCCACTCAAGTTCATCAACTGACTTGACCGTCGGAGGTACCACGGGGGAAACGAGCCCCGTACTCCCACGATTCTTGCATGTGCAGGTCGCTCGCCCGTTCTGAGCTCTGAGAATCAGCCATAAAGTCGAAGAATGAAAGCGGCCCCCTCTCGACAATTCAACATCTCGACGATTCAACAACCCTGAAACCTCCATCGACTGTTTGTTCACGAGCATCAACAGTTTGGCGCCCACCATTGGGCTACTTTCCTCTTTTTGAGAAAAAATGACAGGTTCTGAGCGAGGAGTGGGGAGTGGACCAAAATCCTCCGAAGGTGGCTCCCAATTAGGAGGGACCCTACATTGTTATGGAGGAACTCAGAGCCGGCACCTATCGGTTGAGAGCTCCAGATGGACGAATCCTCAGTCATCCATGGAACATTGAACACCTACGACGATATTTCCTTTAAGATTTTAGTTTAATCTCTTGAATGTTGAAAATTCCCTATGAAGAATGCATGCCTTATATAATTGATAATATATCTGATGAAACAACTTTAGCCAAACTTTTGCGTCACCATAATAACTGAAAAATGGAAGACCTAGTCAGCTAGGCACCCGACTCCTCAGTCGATAAAAAGTCATTGGTACTTCCTCATGGTAAGACTAAGGCACAACCTTTTGGCCGACTCCTACAGTCTCTTCTCGGCCCTAGGGGAAAATGGAAGACCTAGTCAGCTAGGTACCCGACTCCTCAGTCGATGAAAAGTCCTTGGTACTTCTTCAAGGTAAGACCAAGGCACAACCCTTTGGCCGACTCCCACAGTCGCCTCTCGGTCCTAGGGGAAAATGGAAGACCTAGTCAGCTAGGCACCCGACTCCTCAGTCGATGAAAAATCCTTGGTACTTCCTCAGGGTAAGACTAAGGCACAACCATTTGCCCGACTCCCACAGTCGCCTCTCGGCCCTAGGGAAAATGAAAGACCTAGTCAGCTAGGCACCCGACTCCTCAGTCGATGAAAATTCCTTGGTACCTCCTTAGAGTAAAACCACGGCACAACTCTCTGGCCGACTCCTAAAGTCACCTCTCGGCCTTAGGAGAAAGGTAAGGCCTAGTCGACTCTTTCGAGCCTGGGCACTCAACTTCAAGGTCAATTCTTGTATCACCTTTCAATCGACCAGGAACAAGAAAAATTCAAGAGTTTAAAACACTCAAAATGAATTTATTTATTCATTAGCTCTTCTTATTTAGAAAGCCAAAAATACCAATTATAATGACTAATAAAAAAAGAAGAAGGGAAACATGACTCATTCTTATTTATTTTTCTTAACCCGCGAGGGTCTCCGGCGGTGGAGAGGTCGCATCAGCAGTTGCCGAAGCCTCTTGGCCCAGAGCACCAGCATCAGCAGGAGGAGCATGCATCTCAGGGGCTTCAGTCCCCCCTTCCATTAGCGGAATGATAGTTGTCATTTCCTCATCCTCACCGTCTGAAGACTCGCTATAATCTCACTGTCAAAATCAGTTCTACTCAGTCTCTGCTCATTTGTTTTTCCCTTGCATACGGCCACAGTCGCATCCAAGCATAAGGGGCTGACTGTTATGGGGTGTTCCATGTTCCCCACAAATATGCTATCCCGAGAGCAGGTTCGGTCGAGTCGACTTCATTCTAAGATGACTCGAAGGGCGGACTTAGTCGAGCAAAAGATGATTACCCATCGATCAACCGATACTTTTCCAAGGGCGACTCAGAATATTATTTCTCAGCATTATTTTAACAATTTATGATCATCATTACAACTCTACGTCACCCGCCGACAAGCTTCAACGGCTGCTGATTCCCCATACCACAGAAGTGACCCCACGTCACTCGTCGACAAGTCTTGATGGCTGCTGATTCCCCATACCATAGAAGTGACTCCACGTCACTCACCAATCGACACGTATCGAGTAGAGGGTGACTCAGCCTCCAGCTCACCCCTCGCCATCATCATAAACTGCATTCTCACTAGATGTCGATTCGGCCCTTGGCATCCTCTATAAATACATATGCTATTCGTCATGAAAAGAGGTTGGATTCTCCTTATTACTAAGAAACTCTCTAGACATATTTTTGGAAGAATACATTGTTCTTCTATTACCCCACTCAAGTTCATCAACTGACTTGACCGTCGGAGGTGCCACAGGGAAACGAGCCTCGTACTCCTATAATTCTTGCATGTGCAGGTCGCTCGTCCGTTCCGAGCTCTGAGAACCAGACATAAAGTCGAAGAAGGAAAGCATCCCCCTCTCGACGATTCAACATCTCGACGATTCAGCAACCCTGAAACCCCCATCGACTGTTTGTTCACAAGCATCAACATTAGGGTTTGACGAGCTGCAACAAATGGTCCGGTTCAATTTGAGAGTAGAAAGCTTGAGAATAGAAGAGAAAGAATAATGATATTTGATAAAGAGATTTTTTTTTGAACTGAAAAACAGAAAGAAATTTCTTGTTCATATATATATATATATATATATATATATGCAAAAGACAAGATCAAAGTATTTAGAAAATTACAAGAAAACACAAGGAGATAGCATAACCATCACCTACCCGACCATACCACCATAGTAGTAAAAACAAAGCTAATCTATCTCTAGAAAAGACCAAAAAAAGAGGAACCAAAAAAAAAGAAACTTGTTTTTGATATTATCTCATGAGATGAGACTGCAGACCAAAAGGACCAGCAAAATACAGGCTAAAAATGATGATGATGCTAATTAGAAGAGAAATTCTCTACCACAGCATCAGTTGCTTGCTTCCTAGCGAGCTCTTCAAACTTCAGTTTAGTCCATGCTCTGCGAATCCTTCTAGCCATCCTATCCTCTTGACCTCATGTCCATAAAAGAGAGTATCTAGCCACATTAGCGGCAATGTGATCAGGAAGAGACTGAACATCTTTAAAAATAAGATAATTTCTGCTGATCCAAATCCACCAAAAACAGCATGACAATAAGACTTTCTAAATAATTTTGATATCTCGGTTTGTGGAGGGAGAATCACCAAAGGAAATAATCTCACTCATAACTTGAGGCCAATTAGTTGTATTAAGACTGGGGAGAAGAGTAGACCAAACTGTGGATGCAAAAGAGCATCTGATGAAGAGGTGATCCTGATTTTCCACTTCCATTCTGCAAAACGGACATCTAGGATCTCCATTCCAACCCTTGGAAACTAAATTAGCCCTAGTGCTAAGCTTACCCTTGCTGACAATCCAAAAGAATATTTTAACTTTTAGAGGGATGAGAGATTTCCAAATGAAGTTATAATAGCTCGATTT